ATAGTCTAGAAATATGTATTAATGCTTCTTTTATCATTATACAAAATATCATTGCATATTTCCACATATTTCATAATATTTCCACAATGTCTCTAATTTTTACAATATTTCCCCTCGACATTTCCGACATATGTCCTATATTYTGGTAAGMGACATTTCCATCGACATCGACATTTTAAACCTTGATCACTTCCTTATTCACTGTCCAGTAACAAGGAGGATTTGGGTTCACTTTCTTAACCTTGTTGGGTATTAGTTGGGTGGCTCCTGAGCATGTTGAAGATTTTATTTGGCAAATTGGTAGTGGCATGGCAAAGGGTTAAGCAAAAGAGGAAAAATTTACTGGTATGTGGTAGCTTAGGTGGTGATGTGGTGTGTGTGGGAAGAAAGAAAATTTCGCTTATTTGATAACATAGCTAGATCGTTTGAAGAGCTGCTTTCCCGTATCACCTTTTTTGTGTAATTTGTAGGCAGTTAATTCTCAGGAGATTAAGGGAATTTCTTTGGGTGATCTTCAAAGGAATGTGGTGGAGATTCTTCACTTTGTCTCCAAGCTATATTAACAGGTTTAGTCTTGTTCCTGCAAGAGAAGGGACTGATTTCAGCTTAAGCTTTGATGGATGGAAGCATTTGCTGGGTCTTCAGTGTCCAATTGGGACTACTGATTCAACTAAAGTAGAGATCTTGGAAGCTCTCACAGGCCTCAGAATAGCAAACAAAAGGGGTTTGTCTTCTCTAACCACTATAGGTGATTCTACTAATACCGTTAAGTGGTTAGGGGAGAAGGAATAAGGCCCTTGGAGGTTGGCTCGTTCTTTACACGAGGCCAGAGATATCTTGTTTGCACTGAATGCAAAGATTTATTGGGCTCCTAGAGAGTTGAACTATATGGTAGATCAGTTGGCCAAGTCGGGTACCCACAGGGAAGCTTTATTTGGTTATAGAAATCTGTCTTGTAATCTCTAAATGTTGTTGTTTTTTGTTTTTCTGTTGTAATCTCATGTACCTTTGAAGTTCTTTAATATAATCAATTAATCTCTCTCTCTCTCTCAAAAAAGAAAAAAAAGAAATCTTGCATTGTTGTCTGCAAGTGGAACTCCAGAGTTTGATGATCAGCAGGATGAAACAATATCAAGTTATCCCCCCCCCCCCTTCTTTTGCTACTATCCTCTATAGCTGCAAAGAAAATAAACAAACAAGTTAATTTGGACAATGAATAAGGCGCAAATTGTGGAGAAAATTTAACATGTATTCTATCTGTTGCTCAATCAAACAAGTTAATCTGTTGCTCCATCTTTCAAGAAAAATAAAAAGAAAAAGAAAACATAAAGCAGACACAACATATATACAGTATGCTACAACTAGATTAGAATTCATAAAAATATACCAAATTTTTATTTCACTATCTTTTATTTGATAACAAATGGATTTTACTGTCCCATGATTTATAGAATCTCTATGCCTTTACAATGCAACAAGTTATAAATTTATCTATGTACCTACTTCTTTTATTGCATTCCCACCTAAAGTGGGTTTGTTTTCACAATACACCTCTCAAACTACTTCAGTTCATTAGTAGTCACTTGCATAACCAAGACTCTGAAGTTCTCTCAGTAGAGATGCGGAAGCAGATCTTCTGAAGTTCTCACAGCAGTCTCTCTCTATCTTCTGCAATAGTAGGGTTTAATCCTGGCGTTAAAGAACCCAGTGAAGCCCCAAAGGTCATGAAACCAACATGGTCTCTCCATCCTTTAATTCCCTTTCTGGATGACTTATCTTTTTTCAATTGATTTGGACCAGTTTCATACTGTGGTCACAAGGGAGAAGGAAAATATAAAGAACAAACTTATTTGATATTAATTTCCTTTCAATCCCTTGGTTACTTTGTTCCTTTTCTGTCCAATGGTAGCAGAGATGGGTGAGCATAATACAATTTCTGAGGTTGAATTTGGACAAAAGAGCACTTCAAAGTTGAGTTTAATGGAGCAGATTCTGCATCTGATGATCTTGTAGAAAAGGATCTTGATTCAGAATGTTCCTTTGATCTGGCTGTAGCAATGGGAACAGAGTCTATAGTTGAGGAAAAACCAGTTCCGGAGTACATTGGTGGTTCCTCGAGCAGTGAGAAACAGGTCCAATTTGAAGAATTGGGGGGTTCCTCAAGCGGTGAGAAACAGGTCCAATTTTAAGAATTGGGGGTTCTGGTCAAATTGCTGTGGAAAGGCTTTCTTGCAAGTCTTGTAGAATGGATCGGTCAAATGAATATTTCAATATTCTTTTATCCCCAGGCAAATTGGAATTTTGTTATTATGCTTAAAAGAAGATATTATCTTTTTCTATTAAGAATTCGGTGTCAAATTAATGGAAAGGGGTGAGTTTTGGAGAGGTCAATGTTCAGGGATGGTTTAAATATTTGTGAGAAATGTCAGTGGAGGTTTAAGAAATTTAACCAAAATTTATCTCTACCATATGGAGTCTATATGACTCCTGTTTTGCCATCCCACATGATCAAGGGCCATATCCATTATTAAGTTGTGTGCCCACAAAATTATTTCTTACTATTTCAATGCATGAGAAACTGGCTGTTCATATTTGACAGCCTGGGAAGTCAACAGGGCTCTCCCTGTGTAATATGTTAGTTGACCCAGTAATGCATCCAGCACTGATACTGTTACAAGGAGCCTATGTGAACAAACATGCCATGCAGGGAGAGTCCTGTTGATAATCCAGGCTGTTGAATTTAGACGGCCATATTTTTTCCTCAATGCATGCCATTTTGGCCTCTTTGCTCTTCTAGGCCCTTCAGCTTGCATAATATTACTCCTTACTGGTGCAGTTCACTCATAACATTATTGATTGATTTTAACTTGTTTGATTTCAGTGGCCGTGAGCTGTTTCTATCAGATGCTAGTTTGTTTGTTGATGATGCTGAGGCATGTGAGAAGTATCAAAGAGAAGAAGAATCTGATGCCACTGAACATAAGGTATTACTGCCATTTTTCCTTTTTATTCTTGTCTGGAAATCACACGAGTTTCACAAATTCCTGAGCTGGATGATGTGATGGAATGTGAAAAAAAATCACTATTCTTTTGTTAAATTCTAACCTATGTTGAAAGTAGCATTTCTTCTACCTGATGATACATCAGTTGTACTACCTCGTTTATACTTATTTATCAGGCATTGCTTTCATATGCTGTCACATTTATTACACATCATATTTCATTCTGGGGCTAGGCTTATTTCTCTTGTGTTAATTATAGTCTTATTTGCATACCTTGTGAACTCTAAACATGGTGTTATATGATGCCATTATTGCCAAGCTTTCCTCATACTTGAGCTAGTGCAGAAATAAAATTGAACTTTGCATATGCATATACTGGGATTTGCTGATGTAATAGTATGACTGGTTCATTCAACATGTAATGTTGTTATGATAGGAATTTCTTTTTCTTTTATTTGATAAGTAAATTAGAATTTCTTTATCATTTTAATTGTTTCTTTTCTTTTGTTTGGATGAAGAGATCAACAGAAAAAACAAAGGACCAAAAAGGACAAGAGTTAGACTTTCTCCAAGAATTAGTCTAGTTAATCACTAGGAAGTCCAATCTCTCTATGAAAGGACATGCAACCTCATCAACCTAATATCATGAACAATTGTGATCGGATTTTCTTCTACACTGCATACTGCTTAAATTTTAGTTCAGGACTTACTAAATGCATGTCAAAATCCCCCAATATGGATTGCATTGCATTAGTTTAGGTACAACCAATTTCCTGGTTAGGATATTTGATCTTCCCAAAGTGCTACACATTTTGAGTTGGTAATCCTGAAATATATAATGAAGGCCGAGGTGTTATCTTTCAATTTGTGAGGCAACAGAATCCCATAATTTATGACGCTCAACACTGGTTTGACTTTGACCTGTAAATATACCCATCTCCATCTTAAGTTAAGGATTCAGTGATTCCATGAGAAGAAATGTTTTGTTAGGTTATGATCCTTGTGCATATCCTATACATAGTGTTCTTGATCTGTAGGTCTTTTTTCCATTAAAATGAAGTAAATGCGGTTTACTTGTACAATTTGTTGTGGCATATTGATAAAAAACCGTCTTCCTGATGTTTGATCTTTGTTTTACTTGTACCATCCTGTGCGTTATTGACTTGGTGTTTTGTAAACAAGTAGGGTGTAGTACTCATCATGTAGCCATGAGGACAGTTGCATAGCTGAAGATGGGACATGTATACATGGTGTGAGAACGCCATTCAAGGGGGGGGGGGTGTCGAGTGATTTGGGAATACAAAACATTTTTGTAACGACATATCTCTATTTGACCAAAAAATGGTTATTCTCTTAGCAATTTGCCACAGATTTCATTGTACTAGCAATTTATTGCAGGCCCAGGATGAATCGACGACAGATAAGCCAAGTACCTCAACTGCTGCAGTTCCTGCTGCTGTAAACATGCTTCCTGACGAGGATGAGGATGATGATGACGATGATTTGGACATGGATGAGTTAAATGAGCTAGAAGCAAGCCTGTCAAAAACATCAATTAAGATCTCTGAGCCAGGCATTGAAACATCATCTTGAGTAGCAACGAGGACCTCACCCATATCCTCGTCCCTGCCTTTTTTGCCATTGTCCCTGCTGCATGCCAACGACCAAGCACCAACATTCTCCGTGCCAAAATCTTGGTATAAAACAGGGATCCATGCCAACGACCCTGTGAAAAGGAAGATATCTTTTATTTACAGTGCAGGTTTATATTTTGGTTAATGTGTCCGGTTTGCGATGTTCTGAGCAATAATAAATTTCATTTGGGTCTAAATGGAGTCTATTTTTTCATGCAAGGTCTTCTCTACGGTGTTGTAATAGGATTATAGGAGCCATTTTGGTTGGTTGCGTTTTGTATTTTTCGTACACATGAGAACCGGCAAGGCTACCTTTTTTTAGGGACGTCCACTCCTGTCTATTGAGAGTCCCACCTTGGAACTTGGAAGTAATTTTTTTTTGGTTTAATTCCAAAACTCTATGCGGAGTGTGTCACTTTACCTATCAAAAGTTGCAGATACCCAATCCCCCCCTCTTAAACTTTCACAGGGCGTTAATGGCCAAAAAACGACTGAATTAACCTTGTTTGTTCTACGTGTGACAGGATTTTGTTCTCTAATCCAATAAAACAAAAGAACCCAAGGTTTCTTTAAAACAAAAGCCTCCACCAGCCAAAGAAGCAGAGTGGAACGAGTCCTTTTCTCCTTGAAATGTCAAGTGAAAGAAAGTGCAAATATGGGCTCGGATCAGCTACCCACAAGCTGTTCTCGCATGTCATCTCTACCCACAAGACATTACACTACACCTGCGCATTGAGACCCTTGTCATTCATGGGGGATGTTCCCAATATATGGTGGAGCTGTAGGCAGGGATGTGAACTTGTGGATAGCAGAACCAGAGGTAATTTGGGCATTTTGGAAAACTGATGTGCATATGACGATTTTCCTGAGAAAAGGCTATCTGTCTGAGGGTAACTCAAAAAATAGACCTCAAGGAAGCTATTTTTGTTGCTTCTAGTTCTAGAATTTTCAAATAATGTTTCTATACCCAATTAATAGCGGTTCTGAATCCTGTTATTATCATCTCTTTAAGAAAAGAACCGTTGATGTGATGTACTATTCACTTGAAAGAGTAACGACCCCTATAGGGTGTCAAGCAGTGATTAATACCCAAAAAAACTTAAATTGACAAGATTACAAAGCTGCATTTGTCTTCCTTATTTTACTTATCTCTTTTTTGCTATTAAAATGCTCTTATGAACACTGAATTTTTAATTGTGAAAAGGAGATAAGTCCTTAAAATAAGGAATGCCAAATGCAGCATAAGAGAGTTCCAAAGGAATACTGAAGTAAATTGTTGACCAAGATTCTCAGCTGGTTTACAAATTTTATGCCACAAATCACATACAAGAGATCATACAGTTGGATTACTATAATCCAATCACTACTAAATCCAAAACTAGCTCATAATCAGGTTCCATCCAGAGAGCTGTGCATTCAAATCTGCAGAATAACCACACGTTGTTGGCGAACATCGGCAATTTCCGTCCTTTTTATTGACACCCCAACTCATAATGTACAGAACATTTTCCGGTGAAGGATGCTTGGGGGTTGGATTTGCCAAGAAGCAGAATCCCAAAGCTTCCCCATAATATACTGATGCAGAAGTGGTGGTTTCCGGTGACTTTTACCAACTCAATACAATCTTCTCCGACAGGTAAGAAGCCCTCGTAAAAAATATTCTCACAGAAGCCAAATCACATACATATGTAGAATATCTACTTGATCTTCCAAGCCAAACGAGACCTTGATTATAACATAAAGAATTAAGCAACTGAATGAACCAAAGAAACACATCCAAATTATGATTTACACCATTTTATCCGGATTGAAGTTTAGAGACTCCCTCCATATAAGCTCTTTTATTTCTTCTTCACTTAAAGATGACTGTTCAAAATCAAAAACGAAAGGTGATGTGCAAGTAGGCTCCTCGTTGATCTCGTGGAGACTCAACAAATATGGATGGCTTAATGCTTCATCAACTGGATAAGAAAAAAAAAAAAAACTTGGTAAAAAATTACGGAGTCAGTAAATGAAAATGGTTAGAAGTTGGAATATTAGATGGGATGTACCAGTAATCCGCTTGCTTGGATCAAAAACAAGCATTCTTTCTGCAAGGTCAATGGCTAGGGGGGACAGATCAGGAAACTTCTGAGAGAAGGGTTGCTTTGGAACTCGTGGGAGCTGTTTGACATACTTTCGAGCATTGTCACTTCTCAGAAACCCAAGGTCTGAGTCATCTGGTGAACCTATTAGCTGTAATAAAAAAGTAAAAGTTTCAGATCTCATCAATTAAGTTATGTAACCAGCATAATCCAAGTGTTGTGGACACTGTTCTTGAATGTTTTTCTCAGGAGGCACGGTGGATATGCAGAAATCAGCACCACCCATTTAATGATTCTTAATTAGGAAATATCCTATGCGGAACTGACCAATATGCTGGGTCCTGATCCACTGCAAACCACCTGTCCTGATGCCCCATCTAGGCAATGGTACTTAAGAATGCCCACATCCAACAAGGAAAGATGTATCCACATCACACTACAATTTTATTTTGAAGAATTGCAAACAGCATGAATGGGAATGGGATTGAACCTCAGTTATAAGTCTCAACTGTTGAACATAGTCTTTCCCCGGAAACAATGGTTCCCTCCTAATAATTTCCATCAAAATACAACCAACTGACCAAATATCAATTGCAGCAGTATACTCAGAGCAGTTGAGAAGCAACTCTGGTGCTCGATACCAACGAGTCACAACATACTCAGTCATGAAGTCCGTCTCTGAAGTTGTCCTGGCAAGCCCAAAATCACAAATCCTGAGGTCGCAATTCGCATCGAGAAGCAAGTTGCTTGGTTTCAAATCTCGATGCAAAACATTAGCTGAGTGTACATATTTGAGCCCTCGCAGTAACTGATAGAGGAAGTACTGCCAAAATCCAAAAAAGGAACAACCTAAACTATTCACTTTAATCGATATCCACTTAAATTTGAAAAGTCTTTGACCGAAAACCTATTAGTTGCTATTTCTAAAACATACATACAATCATGTTTGCCTTGCATGGTTGGGTGTTGTGTGCATGTGTGTGTCACTGATTGTAAGACAAGTCATATATTCAATCTCACGGAATAAAAAATAACTGGTATCCTAACATACAACAGGACAACAAAGTGTACAATTTTTGCTAGTGTAGGAAATTAGGAATATACAATAATGATGAGATCTTCTCAATCTATTTGATTCATCAACTAAATAAATGGACCTAGATCTGAATTTCATCTAACTAATATTCAGAATTGAATCAAAATTTACGTGTCAGAACCAAGTTGGATTCAGATACTACATACGTATATATATATATATATATATATATATATATATATATCATTAATAAATAAACCAATGTTGACCTCTAAAATACTTGAACCTAAAACCACTTTGATTAAAAATGTCATAAAACCAACTTTTAAATAAATGTATGGTAATTTTCCACGTCTGTCTTGTCAGTTCAGATATTAATAAGATCAGAGTGGGGTGGAAGCTGATTAGATCTGATCATAAACAGATGTATGATTTGCACTCAGCAGCCACCTTAATTGGATCAGGTTAAGGTCAGATCTGGATCATGATCCATTCCATTGAAGGTGAAAGACCCACTCTGATTGTTTTGGACTCAAGACGACCTGTTGACATAAATGTATTGGATTCAGATTTTGAAAATTGCAACTGTTTAATAATCAGTTCGGGTGTGGATCTAACCCCACTGAATCTAATTAAAGAACAGAGACTGATTATATACAAATATAATATACAATGTTTATGATTAATAAATCTATTATTTCATATTTATATAAATTTATTCTATATGTATAAGTTAGTGATTGGTTATTGATTTTAAAGTTATTATTCCAAAGATGCTGAAACGGACTTAGATAAAATCTGAAAACTCGATAGGATCCAAATCTGAATCTAACCTGTTTCAAGCATAATGACATAGAATGTGCTAGCAGGAGAGTTCAAACTGACTTAATACAGATTACTGCGAGTGCAGTGGAAAAATTGGCCACTTCATAAGGGAGATTACAGAAACAAGTTAGCTTAAATCCCATATAAGTTTCATCTTTATTGAGCTAGTAAAAGTTTGTCTCTTGACAAAAGGAAAGACACAACAACCTCTACTCCTTGCTCTGGAGGGAGAACTAAATAGTTGAGGACAAGCAGCTAAAATAGATTGCAGTTATAGCCCCTAGCATGGCCAGAATAATATGATCTAGTTCCTTACAAAATAAAGTAAAACATTGAAGTACTACTAACTTACGAAGTAAACAAAAAGAACGAGATGATTGGCTATTCCCTGATGTGCTTTATATCACAATTTCCAAGACATGATGGCTATGTGCTATCCTAGTAAGCCACTGTGAACAACCCAAGGCCATTAAAGTGTTCAAGATAGAGCTATAAAGTATGGATGCAAGTTGGGTACCCGATTTGAAGATTTTACATTGCACTCGGCTCGGGTCTCTGGGCTGGGCCCATTCAAATTTTAACAAAACCCCAACCCAAGCCTGCTCAAGTTGCACTCCTACTATAAAGTCTTTTGGATGCACAAGGTCAACCATCTTCCCAATCGCACATTTGCACACTATTTCAAGACCTAATGCCTTACAGCTCCTACATGAAAATATCAAAATAAGTTTACTGTTGTACCTGAAAGCTACTGAACCAATGGCCTATCATCATGATCTCCAAATAAGTTAATTTTCCACAACAAGCATCCTTGAATTCAACAAGCAGCACCTCAATGGAGGGGATCAACTTGCAGGACTTAACTGCCGAGCAGAAAAGATCATTTCTCTTTGATACATGCATAGCACACCCACTACATCTGTTCCCAACCTTAATTCAAATGACTCCACTTGTAGTTGAAGACTTAAAAATTAGATATAAGATCATACCATGTTGCCCAGTAAAGTGTCTTGGATGCACTTATCCTATTCAATCCACAAACAATAGAAGGTAACATCAAAATACAGTCCCTAAGATGAGAAATGGAGTTCTCACCTGAAAGATGTGAACCTTATAACGAATACTCCAACCTAAAAGGATATAGATTCTCACTTAACCTCTGGATATTACTTTCTTTTCCAAGGTCGGTGCATTTAGCATTACCAAATATGCCCTTTGTTGAAACCTTGCTAGAAATTAGATATAACATTGGATGCCATGGGAAGCATCTAAAGTAGCAAATACAATGTTCTATCCCACAAACGGCAGAGGGTAGAATTGATATGAAGTCTCCTAAGACAAATGGACTTTTATCTTAATTGTGACAGAGACCACGGAAATTTATAATCCCAATGGTCAATGTCTGGTTCTACTTTTTTTTTTGATCAATTCTGGTTCTACTATTTTTGTGGTTAAGTCATGTATAGTTGGAGAATAAGGAGACAAAAAATTCACTCAACTGCCAGTAGAATGCATTTGAACGGTTGCTGAATCTCAACTAAATTTTCAATTAGCATATCATGCACCTCAGCTGAAGAGGTTATTGAAAAGTGAATCATACTAATTTCTGTTTACAGGGCAGCCCAGTGCACGAGGCTCCAGCCAGTGTGACTGTGGGGTCCAGGGAGAGAGAGATGTACACAGCCTTACCCCTGTAGATACACAGAGAGGCTGTTTCCAAGATTTTAACCCTGGTCAAATTTTGCAAGTTTAACCAGCCAAATTTTGGAACAAGTTTAACCCCTGGGTTCAAATAGTCACCACCCCTATCCCCATTCTTGTTTTAATGTAGCTCTTCTTGCCAAATTGGCCTAGAAACTTGCTTTCTTTGTTTGCAACTCTAAATTAGAACTGAGTTAGCTTAAAAACTGATAAACCAGGTCACAATGGAGAAACCAAGCTGTTGCACCGAGGCCCGCCCTCAACTAATATACTAAAAATTTAAATTATATATAAAAATTGGTTTTACCTTATTTTAATCCATATCTACCATATATGTACTAAAATGATAGAGTCTACCACTTGTACACCAGATGCCTAATATGATATAATCAAGTTCAAGTTGAAAGTTAACAATTCACATAATACAATGGTTCTTAAATCTAAATATGATGGAAAATAAACTCAATATGGTTTCCAAATGATCTTAAATGACTTCAATAAATCATTTTATAATAAGGACTTTACAACAAGAATCTCTTGAAAAAAAATAAAAGAAACAAAAAATGACAAATTAGAGAACTAAGTCTTAATTGAACTGATTTGGATTGCATGAATTTTATAAATTGCAAAATTCATGAACTGAATCATACGATTCAAACAGTAATCAAACATTTTTTGCAGGAAACAATTCAGACATAAGGTTCGAATTAAAACCATTGCGATCCATAATTCAAATTGTAAATCACAAGATTCTGACAACTACAGAAACATTAATTGAGGCATGCAATCTTCCGATTTTCCATGCCATACTATCAAAGAAGTTAGCCAGTGCAAACGGTTTAGAATACACAATTATAGACAGACCTTCGAATTTGCTCCTTCTTCAAATGAAATTTCAAGTCCTAGATGAATTTATCATTATCATGCTAGTCATTTAAAATGGCTGCTTATTTATTACAGGGCAAAAGAAACAACTTACCTGACAGTGATCATCTGTCAATGGTTGGGATGACCGTATTATCTGATGCAGATCAGTGTTCATTAACTCGTACACGATATACACATCATTGAACTTCTCCTTCTCTGGAGGGCATATGATGTCCTTGATTTTGATAATCTGCAGTAGTGCAATGGTCAATCTATCAGGCCAACCTTGATTTGATGTACATTGAAACAGTGTAACTATGTTCAGCAATAGCATCTTCCATTAGTACATTTTCATGGTCCATATGGCAAAGGAGTTTGATCTCACGAAGTGTCCTTTTCGCATCAATCCTGTTATCAAATGCATTCCCAATTTTCTTGATTGCAACTTCTTCATTAGTCTCGGAATTTGTTGCACAGCTGTAATAAGGCAGAGAAACTAGCTTAGATCATAAAGAACAGAAAAAAGATACCATAACTATTTGACGAAGAAAAGCATAATTAAGAGTAAACCAAAGATATGACACTGTGGATGGTGCTAATTGCACCACTGTACATGCTCTTAGAAAGACGGTCCTTGGTGAGGATGATCCTAATCATTGGCATAGTAGACCACATAATACCACTAGATAGAAGGACCAGCGAGAAAATTAGAAACATTCAATCACTATGAAGTTGGCTTTGACTCATTGCCTCATAAAAAACATGGACAATCATGAACCTTTCCAATCCCAAATTGACATATGGGCCTTATTGGAAAGCATCAAAAAAGCAACTTGAGAGCTACATGCACCCTAAGTGGAGAATAACAGTAGAAACCCAAATAACCCTTAACATAGGAACCGTGTAAAAGAATTCAATTAGATTGTAGTACGAGAAACAGAAAATTAAGAACTAGAAACAGAAAAATTACGTGTGAACATAGTAACCCAAATCTGAAATCATCAAAATCAATTCAACTATGCCATTTATAAAACGAGAATCACGAACTCAGTAAGTAGAAAATAATTCGAATTTAAAAGAAGCCGGAGAAGTAAACAAAGATTACCAAACGATGCCGTAAGCGCCGCGCCCAACGGGTTGTATCGGCGGAACGTACTTGGAAGAGACCTCGAATAGGTTGCCAAGAATGTTGTACTTCACGTAACGCCCACAATGAGTGGGAAGCCCCTTCTCGTCGACGATCATGAACTCTGAATCCTCTTCCATTTTTCCTTTCTGTCTTTTTGAGAGAGGGAGAGAGGTAGAGCGAGGATAATATAGATGAAAAGAAGAAAGAAGGAGCTTTGAAGTCAAACGTTGCTCTCCATTATTTCTGTTTTCCAACGAGTCAGAAGAGTGAAAAGGGATTTGTGCGCTGCCTTTGTTTCAAAGACTTTGTAAGAAGGAAAAAAGAAAAAGAAAGACTCAAAGAGGGAAAAAATAATTTTGTAAAGGAATGAGTGAAAGCAAAAGAGAAAGCAGGCGGGATTTCGAGTGGAGAGGTGAAGAGGCCAAGAGGGGCCTAAACTTTATCGAGTTTATTCTTCAGTGGAGAGGTCAGAGGTGGTCACCACGCCACCCGTCACCATAAACTTCCCTCTAGTTGGCTTTGATTTTGATTTGAAGTTTTGAACTTTGAAATTTAAACCGAACATTTTTTAATGATTTGGGAAGTGTATGATACCTGAAATTTTCAGAACTTTAGAGGCCCACCTGAATCTGAATTTGAAGGAATACCAATTGATTGGTTACTAATTGGATAATACCAGTTGATTGGTTATCAGTTTCTGAGCCAACTCAGTTCTAATCTAGAGCTGCAAACAAAGAAGCAAGTTTCTAGGCCAATTTGGCAAGAAGAGCTCCGTTAAAACAAGAAGAGTATCTGAAACTAAAATCACCATTTGACTTATTTCTGTTGATCGGAGAAAACCTTGTTCCAAAATTTGACTGGTTAGTATATGGACTCAGATTCAATCTTATCTATTTGAACCAAGGGGTTAAACTTGGGCGGGCTCAGGTTTAGCTTTTGTTAAATTTTAAATGGGCCAGGGCTTGGCCTGAAGGCCCAAGCCAGATGCAATTGAAAACCATCAACTCAGGTACCCGAATTCTTGGCCATGTGATGGATCAACCGATCCAACTGATTGGGTCGATTGTTTAGTAGATAAATACATATTTTCTAATTCGTTCAGTAGGTGCCATTGTATTGCAAGTAGAGGTGATCATTTCCACCCCGGCCCGGTTCAAACTAGTTTGGACATGCCCAAGAAGAATTGGAACATGATCTATCATGTCTGATCCATTATGTTTGGGAGTCCTTTAGGGCTCAGTATAGATGATTCAGAAGGATGGCTGGATGAAGACATGACCATATCCAGGAAAATAAAAAACAGCTAGTTCTGTCATGTGAAATAGCTTGGAGTATTTGGTTGAGAATAAATGATTATTTGTTTAATGATACAAGTACTAATCCTGTAAATGCTTCTTGCAGATTACTTATAGAGGAGAGACTGTTGGGTCCCCTTATTGGTTAAGTGGGTAGGAATGTCTGGTAAATTTTAGTAGTTTGTCTGGTTTTAATGCAATGTAGCTTGTACTGTCTGTGTTTGTGTTTTCTGTTGAATGGAATTTCACTGGAAGAAGTAACCATCAAAAATACAAGACATTTTTAGAACTTGACATTTTTAAAAGATTCAATCTTTACAAGTGAACTGAAAGCCAGGTAGTAAGTTTCCATGAAGGGTGGTTCACATTTCACAATCAAGAAATTAAAACAATGGGAAGAACAGCATAGATTTGGGTCATCTGAGTAAAACCCAACGTTATCCAGAGTTGTTTCTGCATCTTGTCCTTGTGTTGAGTTGCCAGGAACCTCCTACTCCCACCCTAGGCCCTGGCGAGAGTACGTGGGTACTCTAAAAGAGAGCATGCGTTTGACACATTCTCAACAGTCAACATCATCACATGTTTCAACATAAATAAAGAAGAATCAATTAGTAATTACGACTTGGAAGGGAAGAAGGGATAATAACATTAGACATGCACCAAGTTGTGAAGCAACAACTAACAAGTCAACAGCATGAAACAAAGAAAAGTTTTTGGACCTTGTCTGGGACAGATGGAAATCAAATCAATGTCAAAGAGAGTTGTCATCCATCTTTTCAGATCAACCACAAAATGTTGCAAATATTGGCAATTTCAGTCCTTTGTATTGATACCTTAACTCATAATGTACAGAACATTTTCGGATGAAGGATGCTTGGAGTTGGGGCATTGGATTCGCCAAGAAACTGAACCCCAAAGCTTCCCCACATTATACTGGAGCACAAGTGGTGGTTACTCACCACTTTACCAACTCAATTTACAATCTTTTCGGCAGGTAAGAAGCCCTCATGAAAAAATATACTCGTACAGAAGCCAAAACACATGTAATCCATCAACTTTACATTACGAGCCAAACCAGACATTGATTATGAAAAAAAATTAAGCAACGGGAAGAAAGAAAGATATCCAAAATTATGCTCTACTCCATTTTATCCGGATTGAAGTTTAGAGACTCCCTCCATATAAGCTCTTTTATATCTTCTTCACTTAAAGTTGACTGTTCAAAATCAAAATTGAAAGGTGATGAGCAAGTGGGCTCCTCATTGATCTTGTGAAGACTCAATATGTATGGATGGTTTAATGCTTCATCAGCTTGATATGAAAAAAGAAAAACAGAAAAAAAGAAGCATCTTAGAGAGAAACTATGGAATCAGTGAATGAAAATGATTAAGTTGGAAATATCAGATGGGATGTACCAGTAATCCGCTTGCTTGGATAAAAAACAAGCATTCTTTCTGCAAGATCAATGGCTAAGGGGGACATATCAGGGAACTTCTGAGAGAAAGGTTGCTTTGGAACTCTTGGGAGCTGCTTTACACGCTTTCGAGCATTGTCACTTCTCAGAAACCCGAGGTCTGAGTCATCTGGTGAACCTATCATCTGTTATCAGAAATTCAGTAAACAAAAGTTTCACCTATCATCAATGTAACCATCATAATCCAAGTGTTGTGGACATTGTTATTGTAGATCTCAGGAGGCATAGTGGATATGCAGAAATCAGCATCCACCCGTTCAATGAATCTTAATTAGGAAATATCCTATGCTGAACCCACCAATATGCTGGGTCCTGATCCACTGCAAGCCACCTGTCTTGATGTCCCATCTATGCAATGGTACTTAAGAATGCCCACAACTGACGATGAAAGATGTACCCACATCACACTATATCCATTTTTCTGGAAAAATTGGAAATAGGTTCGAACCTCAGTTATAAGTCTCAACTGTTGAACGTGGCTATTCCCAGGAAACAATGGTTCCCTCCTGATAATTTCCATCAAAATGCAACCAACTGACCAAATATCAATTGCAGCGGTATACGCAGAACAATTGAGAAGCAACTCTGGTGCTCGATACCAACGAGTCACAACATACTCAGTCATCGGAACTTTCTCTGAAGTTGTCCTGGCAAGCCCAAAGTCACAAATCTTGAGGTCGCAATTTGCATTGAGAAGTAAGTTGCTTGGTTTCAGATCCCGATGCAAAACATTAGCTGAGTGTATGTATTTGAGCCCTCGCAATAACTGATATAGAAAGAACTGCCAAAATCCCAAAAAAAAAGGACAACCTAAGCTATTCCCTTTACAACTTAATCCAATAACCACTTAAAAATTGAAGTCTTTGGCTGAAAACTCATTAGTTGTTGTTCCTAAAAGATACATATAACTGGTACCCTAACGTATTTAATGTATTGCTCCTACAAGTTAATCAATGATGTGAAATATGTAAGCTCTAACACAACAGGATAACAAAGTAAATAACTTTTTCCAGTGTAAGAAATTAAGAATATACAATATTGGTGAGATCTTCTCAACCCATTTGATTCATAAAGTACCTGTCTGAATTCAATCCAACCAATATTCAGATTTGGATCAAAATTTTCTTGTCAGATCTGAAATGGATTCAGGTATTATATATCATTAATAAAATAAACTAAAATTGACCTCCAAGAGACTTGAACTAAAACCTGTTTGGTTAAAAATGTTATAAAAACCAACATTTCTTATAAATACATGGCAATTTTCCATTTCTGTATCGTCAGTTCAGATATTAAGTTGGATCTGGATCATGAGCAATTCTACTTGATCCAATCTGTTTGTTTTGGACTCAGATGATCTGTTTACATGAATAGATTGTATTTGGATTTTGAAACTTGCGTCTATTTAATAATCAAATCAGATGCGGATCTAACCCCATTCAATCCAATTAAGATTCGAGATTAATTAAATATAAAATATAATTATATAAAGTTTATGGTTAATAAATCCATTATTTCATATTTACATAATTGTATTTCTATATGTATAAACCATAAATTAAAGAGTGATTGCGAAGACCAGAATGGTTATGCCCAATCCTAGCAAGCCAATTTAGAGCAACCCAAGGCCAACTAGGTGTTCAAGATAGAACAATAAAGTCTTTTGGATTCACAGAGAATGGTCAACTATCTTCCCAATCACACATTTGCACACTATTTCAAAACTAATGCCTTAAAGCTCCTCTATGACAATCAGTTTCTTGTTGGTACCTGAAAGCTACTGAACCAACAGCCTATCATCATGATGTCCAAATGGCTTGATTTTCCACAACAAACCTACTTGAATTCAACATCCAGCAGCACCTCAATGGAGGGCACCAACTTGCAGGACTTACCACCAAGCAGAAAATATCATTTTCTCTTTGATACATGCATAGCCCACCATTACATCAGTTGTTAACCTTAAATCAAATGACTTTACTCACAGTAAAAGACCTTAAAAATTAGATGTAAGATTAAACCATGTTGCTCAAGAAAGTGACTAAGTTGCGCTAATCATATTCAATCCACAAACAGTAGAACATGACATCCAACTACAGTCCCCTAAGATGAGAAATGCAGTTCTCATCTGAAAAATTTTAATCTTATAAGGAAAAACTCCAACCTAAAAGGAAATGGGTTCATGCCTAATCTCTGGAAATCACTTTTTTTTTTCTGATGTCAGACATGCTTTCAGTGTTACTGGACACCCCCTTAGTTGAAACCTTGTTAGGAATTAGATATAAGATTATAGCAGGTTGCGATGGGAAGCATCTAAAGTAGCAATTACAATGTTCTATTCCACAAATGACAGAAGGTAGAATTGAAATGAAGTCTCCTAAGATATGAAATATACTCCCCATCTGAATTGTTACAAAGACCACGGAAATTTATCCTAATGTCCATTTCCACTATTCTTGTGGTTAAGTCATGTATAATTGAAGAGTAAGAAGCCAAAAATTTCATTTGATTGCCAATGGAATATGTTTTTGAATTGCTGCTGCATCTCAACTAAACTTTCAATGAGTGAACCATGCACCTTAGGTGAAAGGGGTTACTGAGAAGTTGATAGATCTATGCCATCTTCTATATAAAAATGCCATTGAGAAAAATATTGGCCATTCTCATACAGTGGTACTTTATCATGAGTATGTAAAAATGAAATTACCATTTTATATTGGAATGTTCTGAAAATCGTAATCATGTCATGAACTGTACAAAGTTGAATTGAATCAAATTGTGAATTGTTTCATGAACCGTATGATTGACTCTGTTTTTCATGGACTTGCCAGAAATGAAAAACATGATATAAAGTGGTTTATCCCTATACCATTTATGTACCTAAAACAATAGAGTCTACTACTTGTGCACCAGAAGCCTTATATGATATAATCAACTTCAAGTTCAAAGTCAACAATCCACATACAATGGCTCTTTAACCTACATAAAATGGAAAAGAAATCCAATCTTTTTTTTTTTTTGAAATATGAAATCCAATATTGGTTCCCAAAAGGCCTTAAGTGACCTAAATAAGTCCCTTTTCTAGTAAGGACTTTACAAAAAGAGTCTATTGAAAAATAAAAAAGACAAAGCAGAGAACTAAGTCAACTGATTTGAATTGCATTAATTGTAATAAATTGTTAAATTCATAAACTGTAGCCTAGGATTCAACCAGCAATCAAACTTTTTTTTGCAGGAAAAGATTCAAACATAAGGTTCAAATTGAAACCCTTGGGATCCATAATTCAAATTATGATTTGACATCATAAATCATAAGATTTTTAAAACTACCAAAACACCAATTGAGGCATGCAATTTTCCAATCCAGTGTCATACTATCAGAGCAGACTAAGTCAACTGATTTGAATTGCATTAATTGTAATAAATTGTTAAATTCATAAACTGCAGCCAAGGATTCAACCAGCAATCAAACTTTTTTTGCAGGAAAATATTCAAACATAAGGTTCAAATTGAAACCCTTGGGATCCATAATTCAAACTATGATTTGACATCATAAATCATAAGATTTTTAAAACTACCGAAACACCAATTGAGGCATCCAATTTTCGAATTTCCAGTGTCATACTATCAGAGCAGTTAGCCACTACAGTAATTTTAGAAGACAAAATTATACAAAGCATTTTAAATTCGTTCCTTCTTCAAATGAAATTTCAAGTACCAGATGGGGATATCATATCACGCTAGTCATTTAAAATGACTGCTTATTTACTACAGAGCAAAAGAGACAACTTACCTGACAGTGATAGTCTGTCAATGGTTGGGATGACCGTATTATCTGATGCAGATCTGTGTCCATTAACTCGTACACAATATACACATCATTGAACTTCTCCTTCTCTGGAGGCCGTATGATGTCCTTGATTTTGATAATCTGCAGTAGTGCAATGGTCAATTTATCAGGCCAACCTTGAATTGATGTACATGGAAACAGTGTAACTAAGTTCAGCAAATGCAACTTCCAGTAGTACATTTTCATGATCCATATGGCAAAGGAGTTTGATCTCACGAAGTGTCCTTTTTGCATCAATCCTGTTGTCAAACGCATTCCCAATTTTCTTGATTGCAACCTCTTCATTAGTCTCAGAATTTGTTGCGTAGCTGTAATAAGAAAGAGAAACTAGCTTAGATAAAAAAAATAACAAAATGAATAATAAAAAGAATACAGTAAATGTTGAGAAGAAAAAAGGAATATAGTACATGCATTTTAGCAAGACAGTCTTTGTTGAGGATGATCTTAATTTTTGGCTTAGTGAACCACGTAATACCACTAGATAGAAGGATTAACTAGATGGTTAGGAACATTCAATCACTGTGATTTTTGGCTTTGGTTCATGCACAATCATGAGTCTCACCAATCGCAAATTGACATATGAATCCTCAAGGAAAGTATCAAAACAGCAAATGGAGAGATATAAAGACCCTAAGCGGAGAACTAACATTAGAAACACCCAAACAAACCTTAACACAGGAACCGTATAAAACAATTCAATTAAATTGTAGTAAAAGTAGTAGAAAGTAGAAACAGAAAATTAAGAGCTAGATATGGAAAAATTACGTGTGAACATATTAACCCAAATCATAAAAAACGACACAAACCAATTCAATTATGCCATCTATCGAATGCGTCATTCGGAACTATAAACGGGAGGTAATAACTAAAAAAGAAAAAAATAGAATTTCAAAAGAAAACGAAGAAGTGAGCAAAGACTACCAAACAATGCCGTAAGCGCCGCGCCCAACGGGTTGTGTCGGGGGAACATACTTGGCAGAGACCTCGAATAGGTAGCCGCTAACGTTGTACTGCACGTAACGCCCACCATGAGTGGAATCCGCTTCACGTCGACGGCTATTAACTCTGAATCCTCTTCCATTTTTCCTTTCTGTTTATTCTGAGAGAGGGAGAGAAGGGGAGAGGAGAGCGACGACGATAATATAAATGAATAACAGTGAAGAACTAAAGTCGCTTTAGTCAAAACGTTTTTCTATGGTTGTTAACGATTCATAAGACGTAAGAGCGAAAACTAGGGGCACTCATGAACAACCGAAAAACCAAGACAACCGAATCGGTTTGGTTTCGGTTTCTTCTTTTAAAAATTCGGTTGTCGGTTTGGTTTCGTTATGTATAACCAAACATATTCAATTTGATTTCGGTTTGGCACTTTTCAAAAAACGAAGGGACCTGTTAAGTTTCAAATATGTGACTATGTGAGTCCGGATCAGCTGCCAACAAAATACATTCCAATTAAGGATGGCAATTTTTTCATTCCCGACGGGTACCCGACTTCATCGGGTCGGAATGGGAAAGAGGTCCCGTCTCATTTTAACTCCGATTATAATATTAAATACTATTCAGAATCTTATTAAATATATTATATATAGTATATTTATATTGTCTATATGTATCAAAATATATTTAAAATAATATTTATAGTTTAAAAATTTATTTTAAATAAATTTATTTTTTAAAAAATAATATAACTAAAGAATTTTGGGGATTTAAGTCTCCGTAAAAAATTCATCCCTATCAGGGTTCAAAAATAGAAGACAATTTTTATCTCCAACAAGAATCAGGTGTGACTGAAGCACCCTATAACTGACACAAATCCCTTTTCAGATCTATGGTGTGTTGCCTTCGCTTTGTTTGTAGGGTGTATAACTAAATCAGGCAATTAAACTCGGGTCCAACCTTCGTGATGCAAATCTTGGGCTCGGTCTTGTCTAACTCAGTCAAATACAAATTTATCAACCCAGGCCCAATAAGCTTAACCCAACAGAATTCAGATTGGGTTTTGGACACAATTCTAATTTAGAGATGAAATACTCCCGCCACAAATAAGACGTGCACATGGGGATACAAAACCCAATCAATGTTAAAACACATCAACAACCCGTAATCTGATCGGTGTTTAGATCACTGATGTATTCACTCTTCGTTGGATTTCACAACCTAATGTCTTATTTGTAGCACCAACAGATTGGATCGAATGGCATAGATCCAAATTTGATAATCCAATCAAAAGTTTACAGCTTATACACCAACAGACCCTCACACCAACCTCAAAGGACATTATATTGCAGCCGTACATTGGGAATATATCCCCATGAATGATAACAATAGATGTGCACTTGATAAGTAATATGGTGTTGAGCTCTAATTGGGTTTTGTAACTCAAATGTACACGTCTTGTTTGTAGCAGATACTGACTTACTACAAATAGATATATAAGGCTGTATTTAGTTGCAGTGCAAATTTATTTGCACTAGTACAAATGCATAAGAATGCAAATTCTTGTTTAATTTTATTTTGAATTTTACTTTATTCTGCTTCATGTCTTAATTTACTTCATTTGTATTGCAATAAAACAAATTAAACTAAAATTTATAACTAAAATATGTCAAAATTTACACTTAAATCATTTGCACTGCCATGGTTTTGCATCAATGCAGCTTATTTGTATTATAACCAAACACAGCTTAAGGATCAAAATATTGATGCAAACTGGGTGTATCACATCCATATCAGTGCAACTAGATATGCATGGATACAACATCGATGCATAAAAATGCTTTTAAAAATTCTAAACCTTTGGGATGATAAATCCTATCCATCTAACGCTTTAAAAAAATGGAAAAGGTAAAAAAAAATAATAAGAGTATCGGATCATATCAAAGGTCACCGATACGTAACTTTAGATATCGGTCCTCATACACTAAACTGAGAAACCTAGATCCAGATTTTGATTGATTAATATTTGACTTCACATTCAATCTCATCCATGGTACTCGGAGGTGAAACTTGAGCATGCTTAGGCTTAGCCTTTTGTTAAAATTTGAATGGGCCTGGAAGCCATATGCAATGTAAAATCTTCATCTCGGGTACCCGAATTGCACTCCTAATTCAGATCAGACCAATTTTTTCTCATGTGGCAGTTGTTTTCATTTTAGAAAACAAAAAAGTCACATTGGCAAAACCCCCTTAGTGCATTGTTGCTTTCTCTGTTTGTTTGGTAGGCTGTATTAGTTGGGTAGGGATCTCTTACCAACAAAACGCTCCTAACTCTCCCAACAGGGAACATCTGATATACGACTACCAGAGGTGGAGCCATGGCCTCCCTATGCCTTGAAAATCCTTACAATTTCTATTGATGTTTCACTTATACTTTGATCCCTCATCCTTATATTATTTAACTTTTGGCTCCCAATCTATGCTCATTAGTATCCCCCCCCCCCCACTCCCAAACTTAAAATCCTAGCTCTGCACCTGATGGCTATAAGGTAGATTGGGACATTATTGGGACTGTGTGTTGGTAGTTCAATCTAAATTCATATTAAATTTGTTGGGACTGTCTCTATTTGATTTTTGAGAAAATTTCACTTTAATACCTTGAACTTTGAGAGTACTGTCAAATTAGTATCTGAACTTTCAAACATGTCATTGCAGTACCTAAACTTTCAAAAAGTGTCAAGTTGGTCCCTGCTGTTAACCACCCATCAGTTATCTGTTGAAAATGTCAAAAGTACCCTTCAAAAGAAGACATTGTTCATTGTCTTTTACCTTGAGACTGAACCGGTTGAGGTGTTTGAGATTCTAGACTAATGAAGTCATTGTCCTCTACCTTTTGATCTGAAACACATTCTTGTCTGGTTATTTCTTTGCTTTCAGTTATTGTTTCCCTCTATCATATTTCATGTTTTTTCTCTTTTGTTCTTTGAAGATAACCAGTTCAGTCTCAAGGTAAAAGACAATGAACAATGTCTTATTTTGAAGGATAATTTTGACATTTTCAACAGATAACTGACGATCGGTTAACGACAAGGACCAACTTGACACTTTTTAAGAATTTAGATACTGCAGTGACATATTTGAAGGTTTAGGTACTAACTTGACACTACCCAAAATTCAGGATAATAAAATAACAATTTCCCTTGATTTTTCTGTTGAATGGAAATTTTACTTGGCAAAAAAGGAAGAACCCATCAAAATTACAAGGCATTCTAGAATCTTGACTTTTGTAAAAGATTCAATAATTTTGATAAACGTACTCAGCAAGTGAACTGAAAGCCAAAGACAGGAAAGAAGTCAATCTTTACAAGCTTAATTCATGTACTTAGCAACTGATGATGATGGAGGCATGGAGGTAGAATTAAAATCCAATCTTCACAAGTAAAGTTTCCAAGAATCAACAGAAGGGGTGGTTCACAATCAAGAAATTAAAACAAAAGGGGCAGAACAGAACAGAATAAAACCCAACGTCACCTTCACTCAGATGCCAGATTTGTTTGATTGTTTCTGCAGCTTGTCCTTTGTGTTGAGTTGCAAGGAACCTCCTCCTCCTCCCAACTCCCAACTCCTTTGTGTGGGGACTCTGAGGAGAGCACGTGTTTGACGAATTCTTAGCATCGCTGACCTCATGTTTCTTCAATAAAGAGGAATCAATTAGTAATTGCAACTTGCAATCGAGGAGATGTAAACATTAGACATACACCAAGTTGTGAAGCAAAGAGTCTTAAAGAGTTATAATGCTTATTGAAGTAGATCCGATTTGATATCCCTCTAATTTGAAATTAGGACTCTCTTTGTTCCATAAAACAGGGGTCATGACTTGGTGAAATGATAAAATCTCAAATTACCAACTTCTGGTGACTCAATTAGCAGGGTTGGGGGGTGTTAAGGGGATGGAGGATGGGCAACTCCCATTGTATAGTCCTATGTCAAGGTTTAAAACTGTATCCAATTCACCCCTCTCAAGACTCTAGATGCTTGGGAACATTGGATAATTTCCTTTGATTCAAAATAAATAAGAATCCATTCATATGTGGGATTTTTAAGAATTGCACACAAAAAATTGGTGCATATTGACTATAATTCTGGGAAGCCATAAGTTGTTTTCCCCCCATGGAGCATGGAGGGATGATTTACTTTGTAGAACACTGTTAAGTTCTGGCTCTAGCTTGTCTCCTTAATAAACATTTGATATGCTCCTTGTGTCTGTATGCATGGCATGAGCTTTTTCCAACAGTTAATTAACCACTTTTCTAGGACTGCAAACAGTATCCGATTATTCAAATTTGAATTCGAATTCGGTCCATTTATAATTGGATCAAATACAAATTCACCCCTATCTGATCTTATATAATCCAATTTCAATGATATAATATATCATGTATACTTAAAATTATGTTATATTTATCATTAAAATTGATTTGAATGTTGTATTTACGTTCAAAAAACATAATATTAAATTTATTTTATTAATATATAATATTTTTCTAATTTATATATACTATGTAATACCCAATGGATAGAATCAGATTTGAATTCAAATATAAACCAATCAAATTTGGATTTAACTATATTGGATTCGATCAATCCATTTGCACCTTTTATATACTTTTCTTTCCTTTTCTCCCTTTCTGATAGGGACTGCGGGCTGGCTCAACCTAAAAGGGTTGGCCCAGGTTTGAAGATTTTGGTTGATAAAACCCAATTCATCTGGCCCCCTATTTATAACAGAATAAAAGGCAAATTTCTTAAATTACCCTTATGGTTTAATTAATTAACTAACTCTATTCTGACTAGTTAAACACTTACTATTTCTGACAATTGCCTAAAACCTCTTTCATCTTTAATCTTCCATCATAAACCGTTTACACGTGATATCACTTGACTGTTATATTTTTCAAAAATTCGTAACTTACCCCTACTGTTTTAAAAACCCCCAACTTAACACTTCTTCCATCGCCAAGGGTTCGTCTCTCCATTTCAAAGATATTGCTGAGAAGGAAGATAAATCCGTGCAGCAGTAGCAATTTCAACGAAGGTAAGCAACAGGACGGTCGAAGGAAAGTTGGTGGTAGGTGAAACTGGGCACTTCATGAAGTCAGAATCAGAAGTGTCTGTGCACATGTAATTTTCATAGATCTGATAGTAACCGGATGTGTTGACATTGCAGAAGATTGCGTCGAAGCTGTAGAAGTCACCATTGGGTTTTATTCCGGCATCCTCAAGGAATTGGAGCATTCGGGTGTCACTGTGATTTTAATGTTGCAGGGATCAATCCGTCCAGCTTTCTCAACACTTGCAACTGCATTTTCAAACATGCAAGACAACGATCATCCATTCTCACTCACCCCAAGATCTTAAGTTATATCTCTCGTGAAACTTTATATATCTAAGTTCACCTTCCCAATGCCATATCAATGACATAAGATCCTTGAAGCATCCCAAAGAATTTGGTCTGGTGAACAAGAGGTGTAGACACTTCAAAATTTAGGTATTTTAGATAGTATATAGAGTCTGCATCCTCAAGTTGCTGGAACTTCAAAAGGCCTCTTCTCTGCAGGCAAAAAGCTGTAAAATCTATTTTCAAACCAATTTTGGATCATATAAATTTTCTTATTTGCAACAATAGTTTCTATTGAGATTATTATAACAGAGACGATGATTGAGGAGTGTGGAAAAGAAGGGATTCTGTTCTGAGACGAAAAATAGACATGGAGAAGACGGAGATGGATACGAAAAACATTGACTGAAACAGAGACAGAATAGTGATCTGCTTATCATCTTACTGAATTTTTTTCATTAATTGGATTTTATTTTAAAAATTTGATGAATAGTAGAGGACAAATTTGGCATTTCATTTTTTTCTTTAGAATTTAAACAATAGGAATAATTTAAGATAACATGTAAAAAGTAAAAATAGAATTAATTAATTAACTAAACCATAAAGTTAATTTAATTAGCCATAGAGTTAGTTAATTAAATTAAGTCTGAATTAAATTAATACTGAAAGAGGGGATCTCTTAAAGTCTTGGAATCACCAATGAAAATACCTTAAATCATTAGCTTAAACATCCTCCAACTACCAGATTTGTACCAATCCCAGTTCCTTCCTCCTCTCATCACCAATCACCAAAGACCAATAAGAATTCTGAATTCCCAATCAATTTCACAAATCAGAAAGAAGAAAACAAAATCTAAAACTCAGGGATCAACAACAATTGATACCGTTACCATTAATTTACATATTTATCAAATTTGCATGCAGAACATGGAAAGGAATTTGTCATTCCCATTCCCCAAACGGCCAAACCCAGTAATTAGTAATTACAACCCCTTTCCCCCAAATTTACTTTCTCCCACCAGAACCCGAAGAAAATCCAACTCAAGATATAATAAATATTTACAGAGAAGCAATAGATGGGCATCAAGCTTCCGCAAGAAAAGAAAAGGAAAAAAAAGATCAAAAACTCATCTTCAATTTCTATTTGTCAGATTAAAAAGAAAAACTGTCCTATACAAAGTGTATTCACAGCATTAAGGGCTCCCAAAAACTGGAGCTGAACCAACTGAACTTCTGGATACTCTCATCTGCTTGTTATCTGTTGCTTTCCCATCCATGATCTGACTACGAGATGAAGATCAGAGGCACGGGACAAGCTCGATTTAGTGAGCTGCAGAAGATCACACAGTGAATAGGTTTTCGTCCGGATCACACATCGGTTTCCGAAGTGTAGGCGCTCTGAGGTGGGGTTGTGGAGACAGAGGTTGAGCCATCACCGTCGCGACCGTCTTGCCTTCTACTCCGTCCCCGTCGTCCTCCAGCCTTGGCTGCTACAATGATCGTCTTGATCAAATTCCCAATTATCCTAACTTTGATCTGCCCTCTCTTGGGAGGAAAGCTTGCTTTTCGTTTGTTCATGGGCTTCACAGGTTCGTTCGCCATTTCCGCGAGTCGGGTTGATACAAGGGAAGCTACAGAGTACAGATTTCTCTGAAAACAAATAACGGAAGAAAGAGACCGAAGTAATAAAGAAGCAACGAAACTAAAGAGATTCTGTCTCTAAGGGAGTCAGAAAAGAACGAGAATGAAAATTTCAAAGTTGCAGAAGAAGAAAAAGTATTTGAAAGAAAGAATTCTTCAGTTCAATAGACCAAACCTGGAGAAGTCTGAGACTGCACAGCCAGCTGAGGACTACGCCTCGCTTTAAATTGTTTCCTAGTGGACCCATTTTTGTTCCTTGGGTCGCAAGGTTTCACATGGTTGGACGACACAATCCGATTCATTGCCTCCTTTGATTTTTCTTTTTTCTTTTCTCATTACATTGAATAAATTGAAATTTAGGTTTCGGGAATGACACGACGTAGTCCGGGTTGGTTCATCTTGTATCATCCACTGCGTCAATCCAGTCTAGTTGGAGCAGTAGAGCCGTATACAGCTGAAGTGGTTTTATGTTTGAGTACTCATTTCAATTTTCAACCAAGATACACATACACCCACTCAACTTCTCAACTGTCGTCCAAAGACCAAACCCGTTATTAGTACTCTGTATTTTGGGCGTAGTCTCACTTTTATATTCGAATTTTAAAATATGGTACTCTAGTATTAGTATTGAATTCTTAAAACATCTTAATTTAATTTCTGCCATTAGTAGTCCTCAGTTAATTGTATATATGTCACTTAAAACTTATGAAAATATTAAATTATCTTTCGAAATATGACTCGATTCATCATCTTCTTTATCAAGAATCAAGATTAAACTAAAACAGTAGTGAATAAATCGAAGGATATTTGGATGGTTGATAAAGAAAATTAAATGACACTTAAAAGACATTTATATCTTTTTATATGCCACTTAATGGCAATTAACAATTTGGGACTAAATTAAGACGTTTTGAGAATTAAGGTATTGAATTGACACTTTTGAAATTCAAGTACTAAAGTGAGACTAGGCCCAAAATACTTAAATACATGGTATTGATCTGCAATTTACCCTTTTTACTGAATTCATGAATTGGTAAAGTTGTGCTGTCATTTTTTTAATCATTTCTACAAACATGTACAATACATTCGTAGATACATACATAACGAGACAACTAATTTAAAGTGTCGAAGGTTCACATTTACCTGCTCCATACATGTTTATAGTCAAGACAAGCCCAAGACTTTCCTTGACCTGGGAATTCCACCATCTCAGCTTTCCAACCAGAGAGTCCCAGCTCTGTATCTTACAACCCAGAGGATAAAATAAAGGGAAGAAAAGGAAGAAGAAAAAAAAGGTGTGTATGTCTCGTGCTCGCCATTTGAGCAACTAATAGTCTAATATCACAGGATTGCTCCTATATTCAATCTTTCATTCTCTAGCAACTCGGACTTGGGGAGACAATCAGACAAAGATATGTGGTCCTGTGGATCGTTTATGGTAACAGAAAATGTGTTTGGTACTTCTTCCATGAAAACGCATTCTGTAACCATGGTGAAAGTATTTGAATGTTCATATGAAAATCATGCATGAATTGTAAAATTCATTAAGTCGAGGATGCTCAAAAGCATCTATTGTCTTGGGGGGAATTTTGCTTTCTGTGGATTGGATGAATAGTGATGAAAAATGTCTTGTATCCTGGAGCATGAGGATACAACACCAACGAAAGGTGGTTTTGTTAAAATCTTGAAATGAAAGTGAGCTAGCAAGGAATTCGGATCTAATCCCAACAACCGGTCCCAATGGCCATTGTGGCCATGAATTAAGAATATCTCCTGTCTTTCATGGCGAAATGTTTCCAATGTATTTTAGTTAAAGTGTTAAACACACAAGGACGTAGGGATGTCAATTGGACTGGATTTTGTCCAATCCAGTCCAATGTGAGTCCATTACAAATGGACCTGGTCCAATCCAATCTAATGAATATTTTGGACCCGTCCATTTCAATGTCTAGACTGTAAAATCTGTTCAAATTTGTTTTAATTTAGATTGATTTCAACCTAAATCTGGTCCATTGACACCTATATTCTTGTGATCTTATCTTCTATCAATGGATCAGATATTGGCTCAATCCAACCCAACCCAATATAGATTCATTATGGATGGACCAGGTCTAATCCAATCCAATAAATACTTTGGACCATTTGATCTAGACTGGTACGTACAATTCAATATGTTCAATATGTCTTGTTGGTCCATCCAATCCATCCAAATTGATTTTGGTTTGGACGGGATCCAACTCAAAACCAGTTCATTGACACTCGTACATGGATGGGGTACCAACAATTTTAAACCCTAGTTCAACATTATAAATATTAGCTTCCTGCCAGGTTGTATTTCAATTTGATTAGAAATAGTGGAACTTCACATGGATCCTTGTGCTGGATGCATCAAATCCACATAAATCAATTTGTATTTCTTTTCTTTCCATATTTGATTTCTTTGTTATTCTGTTATTCTTCATAAGTTTAAAGTATCAATAAGATACACCCTGTATCAGGCATATTGTATCATATCTTTAGGTGTTTGATACACCTGTTTATAGGTATTTTCAGGAATTGTTGTTGTTGTTATGTAAGTATTCTTAAAATTGAAATTCAAAAAAATTAAAAAAATAAAATAAAAAGTGCATGGTTCAAAGTGTCGATACTTTGAACCATGATTGTTCATTCTCTTTTGCTAATTATGGTAAGAATTCGAATATAAATATGTACAATACAAATACAAGGTTTAAAAATACTATATACAAGGTTTTACACAGTATATATTTGCATTTATACTCTTTCCAAATTGAGCCTTTACAACAAATAATTTAGGGTTGGAGCTTGATTTATTCCTCTGGGCTTTGTGTATGCAAAAATAGAAAACCTTTGCTTATCAAAAAATTCCTCTCCTTTTTTTTAAAGAGAGATGAAAAATATCACACATATTAGGCTGTGTTTGGTTTGTAGGAAAATGTAAGGAAAGGAAGGAAAATGTACTTTTTCCTTTCTCTATTTTTTCCTTCAAACCAAACACATGTGAAGGATCAAAATATCAATACATCCAATAATCTCAAATGAATATTTGTACATATCAACATAGGCCTATAAGCCATATTTCTTTTTATTTTATAAATATTAGAGGAATGCTGTTAAAGCCTCCAAAACCTCCAAACCTTTTCTGTATCAGTGTATCCATGCAGAGTCTACTGATATGAATACACGATACGCCAATGCTATATATTTTGATCATTGGTTACATTTAAATTACATGATGAGCTTCAAGCAAATTAATATTTTTGCCAAGCCTATGTTTTGTATCACCAAACCAATTATTAAAACCTCCAATTGATGCAGATGGGCAGACTAGTTGCCATGTCAATTTCTTCTACTTTCTTCTACTTTAAAGAAGAAACAAGTCATGTCAACTTCTATATTAAACTCTTCATAGGTAAGGATTAGGGACAACTGATCGTTGTTTATTAATAGATGTTGAAACAGAGAAGAATAAGAATAGAAAGTGTCTGTATACTGTGTAACATGCTGAATAAAGAAATCATTATTAAAATAAAGAGTTAATTTGGAAGTTATATAAATATAAATATATACAAAATAGTGAGCCAAAGGAAAAATCTATGATTTAGGAAAGACATGGTATAAAAAATTTTGATCAATCAAAGCTCATTCATGAATTTTGATAAATTATCACGTTTGTGAGAAGTTTTTCGGATGTCATAGTCGAGACAATTTCTCATTAATAGACAGAGATCCGGTCGGGACAATTTGTCAAACACGTGGTGGGACTGGGAGATTGACCCACCCCTTGATTCAACTCACTGCGGAGGCACAACTTTACGCGTTCACATTCTTCATTATTTATTAATCAATTTCCTGGTAATTCATGTAAAAAGAGATTCATAAGTGAGGAGTGGCGAGAGAAAATCAACACCGAGACTTCGCCACCCACTCAGCTAACTTGCTAGCAGTGCCTCACAATCACCATTGATAACTGTGGATTGTGATTTGCTTCATCGACGAAGAGGGTAATGACTAATGAGTTAATGACTGGCAGGCAGTCTAGATATGCGACAGAAATCTGAAAATAATGTAGAGCAGTATGGGTTGATTAATTCAAAGTGTTCATCCACTCAATTTAATATTTGAAAATCTTCGACATCCTATTAAATCGAATTCGGTATCACCTGAAATAGATTAAAAACAGAGTTTTGCGTGGGATCTTTGGTTGGTGTTCGAATTTTTCCTACCATAACCCTTCTATCTACACAATTTTCCCATCTTATCCTAATAATCTATTAATTCATTCAGAGGTCTAAAATTTACTTGTTTTTTGTATAATTTTCTATTCCATCGGCAACTCTCTTGCTCCTAATGAAACATAATTCAGTGATTAAAGTGGGGTCCAAAACTTTGATCCACAATCCGTTTACTTTCCTTCTCCACCATCTCCTCTTAAACGAGCAAAATGTATTTGTAATTAGGGGTGCAACTTGGGCGAGCCTAAACTGGCGCAGCCCAAAAATTTTTATGAGTTGGATTTGGATTTTCAGTCCTCGGGCTTAAGAAATTAGATTTTTTTTATTTTTCAGGTCAAGCTCGGGCCTAGCCCTTATCTAGCCCGAATCTGGCCTGAGCTTAGCCCAACTACACATATGTATATATGTGTTAATTTTGCATATATTTACATATATATGCAAACATATTTAAATATATATACATTTGTGTACATATTTTATCTATTTACATATATATATATATATATATATATATATATATAATTTTGGAGTCGGATCTGGGTTGACCGTAAACCCAGCCCAACCCAACCGACTTGCACCCCTACTTGCAATTGCTCTCTCTTTTTGCATGGGCAAGGCATGTACCATGCAAGTAAAAATATAGGACCCATGGAAAAATCACTTTACGTGTGTATTATTTACCTAGATAAGTGATACTCATCTTTCACGTGGATAATTTTTTTTGGAAAAATTCTCGATTAATACCATATATTTTGGGTCTAATGCCACTTGAGTCCCCAAACTTTAATACGCAACAATTCAGTATCCGAACTTTCAAAACATGCCAATCTAGTACATGCTACTAACGAAATGCTAAGTGGCATTTGAAAAAATACAAGTACCCTCTAAGTGTCATCTAATTTTCTTTATTAATCATCCAAATGTTGACAAAAAATGAATAGTCCCAAATCCTTTTCTCTTCTATTCAAGAAAGTTGGAGTCATGTCTTAGTGGGCATTCTGATGACCCCAACTTTCTTGAATAGAAGAGAAGAGAATTTGGGACTGTTAATTTTTGTCAACGTTTGG